ACGTAACTACTATATAATTTACTTATTTAGTTACTATAGTACTAGTAGTTAGTACGTACTTGTTAGGTTTAGTTTAGGTTAGTACGAGAGTAGTATATATATATATATATATATATATATATATATATATGTCTGTATGTTGAAAATTAGTATTTGTTATCCTCTTACACTGAGGGTACTGTGAAATATTAAATATAAATGTTGTAAGTTTATAAAGCATGGATGGGCTTTGTAGTTATCTCAGTCATGGTAAAACTGTTTAGAATACAGTTTTATTATTTTGGTTCTATTAAAATTAGCATGTTTCTTTTGAAAAAAAGAAGCAAGAAAACTGAAGAAAAACGTTTTTGAAAACCATTGTATGATTTATAATAAAACACAACCTTAAACAATTCTGTAAAAGAGCTGAAACATCAAATTAATTATAAATACTACTTATTCTTTGCAAATGTACCTCACTGAATAAATGAATAAAACAGTAGTACTAATTATATGTACATGTATATATACAGTACTGTGCAAAAGTGTTAGGACAAAGTCAAAAATTAGATTTCAGGCTACTTTCAAAGAACAGTAGAAGGTAAATCATAGGTGAAACATCAACATTTTATTAATCTTCAAACTTAGTACAACAGAAACTCAGTAAAAGTGCTTGACTTCAGCAGTAAATATTTTGTGTTCTCCTTTTGCTTTAATAACTACAGACAGTCTTTCAGGCATTGTTGCAACATAGTTAATCAAAGTGTCTTTTGGAATTTTACTCCAAATGTTTCTAATACACTCCCATAAAGTTTCCTTGGAAGTAACTTTTGATTTATCAAGTTTTTGAATTATCAAATCCCAGATCTGCTCAATTGGATTGAGATCGGGGCTCTGTGGAGGCCATTGCATCATTTGAATGACTCCAGTAGCTTATTTCTTAGCTCTGTAATTTTTGCATAGGTTGGATGAATGTTTGGGGGTCGTTATATTCTTGGTAGTAGGATTCTTTACCAATAAAACGCAAACCACTGGGTATACCATGATGGATCAGTATCTGATGGTACTTGCACTGGTCCATCATTCCATCTATTTTGCAAATATCTCCTGTCGCCTCAGCAGAAAAACACCCCTAAACCATCACACTGCCTCTCCCATGCTTCATGGTAGTTTCTATGTATTGAGGTAAGTATCTTTCATATTTCTTCCGCCAGACGTACAACCTACGTTTTGAACCAAATATTTTAAACTTGGACTCATCCGTCCATAAAACCCTTTTCCAATTATCAACAGTCCAGTTTTTGTACTTTTTAGCAAACATCAGTCTCTTGACAATAGTTGGAGATCGAAGTAAAGGGTTTTTAACTGCTACTCGACCAAATATTCCATTCTCGTTGAGTCTTCTTGATACTGTAGATCTGGACACTTTTCTGTCATTAGGTACATGGTCCTTTATCTCGTGTTTGAGATCAGTAGCAGTCTTCCTTTTGTCCCGAAGGCTGCATAAACGAAGATACTTAACATCAATATCAGAGAGTTTAGGT